TGAGAGAGAATCATAATCCGCTGCCTCCTGCACGCCCCGCACCTGGGGATTGAGCCTGCAACCTGGCCATGTGCCCTGACCAGGAATTGAACCATGACCCCCTGGTTCATGGGTTGACACTCAACCACTGAGCCACACTGGCCTGGCTTGTTAGGGTTTTTTAAAATCATGGATCGGTAGTGAATTTTCTCTTAGGACCTTTCTTTCTGTTGTGAGATGATTATGGGAGAGATGTCCTTTATTCTGTTAATATGGTGAGTTACCCCCATTGATTCACCTCACCTTTCTCAGCTGCATCTCCACTTGGTTTGTCTGTGGCTCAGGATTTTTTATTGCATCCTCGTTTTGAGAATGTCCTTGTCAGATTTAAATGCTCAGTAGCCCAGCCAGTGTGGCTCAGTGGTTCAGCATCGACCCTAACCGGGGATCGAACCTGCACCCTTGGCGTATCGGGACGATGCTCTAACCAACTAATCCACCAGCCGGGGCTGCGTGGCTTTTCCTCTGAGGTGGGTTCTTTGCTTGTTCTCCGTCCTATGTTTTGTTTCCTCCCCAGCTTGTAGCATCTACGTTCCCAGCCCCCTGCTTCTGCCCTTCGTACGTTGCTTCTTCCCTTGTGGCTTTTATTTCATGAACTTTCGGTCCTGTCTTGTGTGACACAGCTTTCCGCGGAGCCTCCGAAAACAGTATTTGGTTTTCAGCAGGGACCGTGCTCTGTGAACATTTTAAACGAAGAAAAATAAAAAAGCCCGATTCTGCTCTAGAAGTATGTTGTTGTGCTGCACTCCCCTCTCCTTCTGTCCTCATTATGTTTTCATCATACGCTCTATTTATGCCTCCTCCCTCGGTTCTGCTCCATAGTAGCCATCTGTTCTGCAATTTGGCTGTCTCCGTCCTTCAAACCACTGCACTTCTTAGGAGGCACATGAGTTTGCTGCGCCTGGTGAACCAGGAGGTCACAGGTTCGATTCCCGGTCAGGGCACATGCCCGAGTTTCAGGCTCGATCCCCAGTAGGGGGCATGCAGGAGGCAGCCAATCCATGTTTCTATCTGTCTCTCTATCCCTTTTCCCTTTCCCTCTCTCTAAAAGCAATAAAAACATTTTAAAAACGTAGAAATGTCATCCTGGCATAAGATTAATCAAGTAACAATGTGTGCGGATTTTAATATTAAATGGCAGCGAGTGGGGCTGGATTTCTGTAAATTGTAAGTAAAATCACGCTTGGGCCCAAGGGTTCAGCATAAGCATAACAGGCGCATCCACATCAATTTCTGTGTGAAATTTCCCAAAGCACAGTCTTTCAATGTCCAGGAGAATAACCACAGTGAATCCGGTCATTTGCTTAGAGGTGAATGGGAGAGGCAGAGAAACCCCGTATGAGCAGGGGAGCCACTCGGATGATGATGAACAACTCACCAGGCCAGGACATTTCATCAGCACGTTTTTAATGACTTGGCTCCTAGGAGGCAGAGCGTTAGCTAAGATTTGCTTTTTCCCACACCGCCTCTCTCTGACTTGTAAGATTCAGAAATCGGGGGTGTGGGAGGTAAAAACCAACTCACGCTTCTCAAGAAAGAAGGAGGCCCTGGTTTCTCCAACCAGATTTTTCTC